ACCAATTTATTTTTTTTTCTATATTGGTGCCAATCACCATTGGAATTAAATTCCAAACAGTCCTCTTAATTGTTGAGCCACCATGGGATGCCAATTTCATGCTCTAAAATTTACATACACATTATACATGATAACCATCTTTGTCTTTCATCAACAATTTTATTTAACTTTGTAAAATACTTATTTAATACTAAACTGTAAATTCAAAATAAAAATACTTTTAAAATGTTTTGTATAAAGAAATAAAAAAACAACGAATAAATGTATGGCTCACACTTACCAGTGCATTCATAACTTTCTTATCTGATTCGATGTTTTCGTTTAATTTGAGTAAGCTTGACTCATCATTTACTGGAATTTCGAAAGGTTCATCAACCAAAATTGCTTCCCTGTTTTGTTTAAGCATTCCAATAAGTTGACTTATTAAGGCATTATTTGTATCTAACTTTTTGTTCAGGTTCTCTACTGAAATAAGAAGCTCTTTTTCAACTGCTGTAAAAATATTTAATATTAGGCTACACCATCTCAACGATTATGAAAAATTTTAAAACTATATAAAATAATAAAATCTTAATCAAACGGAATTAAGCGCTACAGATCAAATCTAAAGGAATTGTTGCCGCAATGCATTTTTCAAGTGAAAGTAAAACTAAAAAACTTGATATATTTTTTAGTTTTACATAATTTGAAGAAAGTTAAATATTTGCGTAAGTTAGATAATAGCATACACTATCGGTGACTTTTCTTATATAAAAAAGTGCTACTACTCTTTCTCGCTATTACCTCGGTTGCAATTGCTGCCAAGAGTATCGTGTCAAACACTCTCCAATGAGCATTGACATCGCTATTATATAATGTGATAAAATATAAATCTTAAAATTTATAAAAAAAAACAAACAAAATGAGCATTATAAAAATAACTCTCAGTATCTCAATTATATGCATACGACTAACCAGTGCAATGAAGTGTTCCTTCGCTCACTTCGGCGAGAATCCGTCTCACAGTTGAACATCCACTTGATGTCAACGAAGATCCTAAAAACTAGAATTAAAAAAAAATAATTAATTGAACAGTTTAATTCAATTTACTAATAGGTTCTTTTCTTTTTTTTTTGTAATTCACCTCCCCAAGGCCGAGAAGGCCACTACAGAGAAGGAGACTATGGTTATAACCCTCTCTTAACTCTATAACTCTGAAACACGAACCTTGACAAACAAGGCCGCTGCGCGGAGAAACAAGTTAAGCGCAGTACTACCAGGACGCGGTGGGAATCGAACTTAAATGCATATATGTAAATATATATATATATATATATATATATATATATACATACATAGTCAATATACTAATGAATATAGCAAATTACCACAGAATTGGGTGCAGACAACGGATTGCTTTTGCATAAAGTACTTTTATCAACTACACTTGGTAAATTTGGATGCATGTTTGTGTCCTATTTACAAAAGCCAACTATAAGATTACTTGAGAACATTATGGAATTCAGTTACATTTTAATTGAAAAATATTTAAATGAAAATAGTATTAAAAGTACCTTCTCTTCTAACACTTCCAAAACAGAACCTTGCCTTTTATTTGACTTTAAATGATCTGAAAGAGTTAAATTTTCAGTACTAAATAAAGTTAAAGGATGAATTGGAGGAGCTGGAGCAAGTGTCTTTTTTTTTTTATTCATAACTTTCTTTTGTTTTTTTAATAACTGTTGAGTGTCACTTTCTGAACTTGAATAGTCAAAGTTATGATACGATACATCTCTGTAAAATAATGAAAGAAAATCAACATCATGATATGATGATCATCATCTAAATTACATATAATCACATAATGATCATCATGAGAAAGACCATCACCTGGTAGGGCGAAGACTCTTCTGAATTCTATTTTCTTCTGAATTAATTGAATCTTCACCCTCGTTATTTGAGAAAAAATCTGATGAAACTTCTGCCATAGGTAGTTTTTCTCTCGCTTTTTCATATGATACTAAAAAAAATTGGGGTTTAAAAATCAAAATAGTGAAAAATTGTTTCAAAAAGAAAAACAATTTAAAAAAACATAAACTTTTAAAAATTTTTGTGAAATTACTAACCAGAGTTATACATGATACTTATGTCATATTCAGTCCAATCATCTCCAGGAACTTCACATTTTTTAATGGCTCTGTTAAGGCGTTCGGTCTTATATGAGCAGGGCCATAGACAAATACCATTTGTTACCCATTTAGCGGGAACAACAGCCACTGAATCTTTTTCATCAATAAATTTAACAATATGATACAATTTATCCATTGTTCTTTTAGAAGAAAATTATAGACTAAATATGGTAGTATTATTGACATATTATAGTTAGTAATTAAGTGTTGGTTGATAATTAAAAATAACTTAAATTTGAGAAATTTAAAAATAGAGAACAGCAAAAAATACAAAAAGCAATTAAAAAATAAAAAGGAAATAAAATTTGAAAACAAATACAAAATACACATCA